CCAGTTTGGAATATCCGGAGATGAAGTTGCTCTTCTTACTTTATGCACGCAATTTGTACGTGCGCAAAACTGAAAGTCTGCAGATGCTAATAAAAAGCATTTCTTAGAAGAGGTAAGACAATTTTATATAGCAGGGGAATATATCCCCATGCTATAAAGTGTTGCTGCTAGAACTATACTACGCGGCCATTTGATTTCGGTTTAGAGGAGAGGCATCGATCAGAGTCGAGCATGGCGAGCTGTGGTGCCGGGAACGAGGAGATTGTCTTCAGAGACAAGTTCCGCAACAGGTGCTCGAAGTTCCTCGAAGACATGTGCTTCAAGAACACCAAAGAATGCGCAAGTCATGGACCGTTGGATCAGATTTACGAAGCTGTGTGCAGACTGCGAAAAATGAAATCAACAAGCGTCGATACTATCAGAGGCTGCTGTGCATATGCGGACTTCACGTGTAGGTACCATACGTTCGAGCACAAAGTCAAAGTTGCCCATTTTACCATTGTGGCCACAGAGATTGACAATCTGTTGAACAGTGCTACCATGCGCTCGATGCCTGATGGTGGAGCTTGCACGAAAGAAGACTGTGAATTATTTCATCTCAAGCTCCTCAATCCTGAATTGTACAAGAAACTACATCCGACTCGTGGACCTTTGCACCCTCTTTTCGAGGAAATGATCGCGATCCTGCTGACAGACCTGAATCCATTTTTTCCATCGCAGCCACGACATCACAAGACGCTTGTGGCAGCAACCCTGCAATTCATTGAAGCGTGTCAGTTGGAGTACGAGTACAGCGAGAGTGGGTTTGAGATTCAGGCTGACACGCCTCACCTTCCTCTATTTCTACGACAAAAATCTGGAATTTCAGAAGCGTTTGTTCTCTTCGTCCTTGTTGGGCCTCATCTGGTTCCAGAAAACTATGCTTCCGAAGATGGAAGCTCAGATCGCCTATTCTTCTACAACAAGATATATCCGATGCTCCCAGAGCTCGCTGCAGTCTCCGACCACGTCAACGATGTTCTGTCGTTTTACAAGGAGTACGAGGAGGAATACGTAGGAGCGAATTACATTTTCACCGTTGCCAAAGCTGAGAACATCACCCTATTCGAAGTCCTCGATGGTCTCATGAACCAGATAGTGGAAATCCGGAAGAATGTAATGGCCATAGCGGAGAGGACCAATTCTCTGGAGGTCAAGAGAACCGTTGCTCAGTACTTTCAAGGCTATATTTCCTTGCACTTGTCTTTGGAGAAGCGTTATAGGCTTGGGGAGGTCTTTGGTGACGGCTGGTTCCAAGGTCATGTCATTTGATGCGGGCCCATTCGCATGACGTTCTAAGATATGTTGGATGTGAATAGTTGCCACTTCGTGAACGGCAACATGCAGCTAGCAGTTCTGTAGCAAGATGCGTGTTGTGATAAATTAGCCAGAGAGTTATATTCAGTGTCTCTGGCTTCAAAAGCATACTCACTGCAGATTTTACTGTCTACCTCTCACACTCACGTAGACAAGAAGACAAATCCATCATCATTGGATTCCACATTTTCAGTCACTTGATACTACACGCTTTACCGTCAAACCATTCCTGTTTACTTATCCGAGAACAAGTCGTGAAACGCTCTGTAATCGTAATGCAGCGTAAATAAGTTATTGTGATCGATGAGCACGAGTTATATAGTACCATTAAAGGAGGATCAGTTCACCATCTTGGAAGCCCATCTTCTTCGCTTTGATTGCATGTGGATTTCTGGATTTTGTTAACAGATTCTTAACACTGTTACCTTCAGAGTGTTAAAAATGGAGGACATGTTTCCGATGGCATGACGATTGGTTGCACGGGCACGTATTCATGTCGTCAAGTTTCTCTTCAAAGTATGTGGGCTAACGAGTCGGCACTCATCCCTGTAGCCAGTAAAGTAGAAGATCTGCAGAGGAACTTCTGATTGTAATGGATTCCTTCAATAGAAACTCCCTTGCTTGCTTTCAGATATATGGGTTCAACGGAACGTATCAATTCATAAATCGAATGGCCCTGACCTACAACCTCCAGGACACTTGTCGACAATCATAAGGGCGTGTTATCACATCAAATGAAATGCATGAAAGCAGGAAAACAATATGAGCAGAGAGAATCAGATACAAATGATTCATGTGGAAAACTGAACTCAGAACTATATCTAACTAACGGACTGAGCACTACGAGAAATGAAAGAACCAAAAGAACTTAAGCCTTAAGTTTTGATCATTAATTCTTAAGGATCAAAACTCCGTTGAGTCAAAGTGACTTTGAATGTAAACGGCATCATGATGACACTGGACTATTGTGCTTTTTTTCTCGAACAAGCTGCTTGTTCGAGGGACTTGTTTCGAAAGCATACGAATAAGTATATTTCAATGCATTTTGAAAGATATGCCAGCTCGCTCACTTTCGTATCACGAAGCTCCACCAACGCGTTTTAGGTATCCTCAGAAGCCTGCTTCCTAGATGCCTGTACATAAATGGTTTGATTGCGGCTAAGTCATTTTTAACGCTTGCACGACCTGCCCCGTGTTTTTCCCCACTAAGTTCAAAACTCTTGCCAAATACTTTCCTTCTCGTTCTGCAACCTGAAATAGGATATTCAAGTGGTGAGTCCAGGTGAAAACTGAGTATTGCTAGTGATTACTAATCAATCAGAGTGAACATTTGTTAAGCAAGATTTATGCAAACTAGTCCATTTGCGGATGGCATGTGTGTTTAAATGTGGTACCTCAGAAGCAAAACTTTCAATTTGACAGAAATTTGACCTCGTTGAAGAAGCCGAAGAAAATATGATTTACGTTGTTTTAGTGGCCGAAAACTCCATTAAAGTAGGTTTCATTGTACAACGCTTCCATGGATTAAATTTTTTTGTTAATAAGATTACAAGCAGCCTAGAAGCACCTACATAGTAAGAAAACCCAACGCACCTGAACTAAAGTATACAGCACTTGCTTTCCTGCGCAATCGCCTATAGCGTACACATCGTCATATCCAGGAAATATTAAATACTCATCCAAATCATTTCTGCCAGTATGATGATTCAGATCTAATAAAAACGTAACACAACATTCAATTCACCTAAAACGATCAAATAACTTACTTATGTTAATCGCATCCTTCTCACCGACATTTGACATGACTATCTGCTCCGTCAATTGGATGACAATGTCCCCAAGAAAGACACAGGAAAAAATCTGGGTATTTCAAGACTTCCGGATAATGAACGTTGCCACCCAGAAATATCCATTACTGTTTGTAGATGCTATCTTTGACCATATGGCCGGACAAATGTTGTAGAATACTCGATGGATTCTCGGGATATTTCAAATGTCGATCCAAGAAGAAAATAAAGATAGGACTACATTCACCACGGATAGGAGAACGCATACGCTTACCATAATTAATCATTTGGACTTCGTAGCGCACCAGCAACGTTGCAGCAGATGATGACACATATTTTACTAAAAATTTTGACCTACGTAAATGTTTGGAAATTTGTTTCGATGAATCCTGAGTCTTTGGGTCGAAGTTGGTACACTTGGTACCTACAACAAACTTTCCACAAATGTTGAACTAGATTTACACCAACTTTTTATGATTCAATAAATATCTTATCAAAAAAATTGGAATAATGAAAATAATTTATTAACATGTGTTTGTATACATTAAAGATCAAATTTTAGCATAAAATTATTAAAAGTGGATATCATATTTGTTGAAAAATTGATGTATAACAATACTTGGACATATATTTTTGGAACATAAATATTTGAATATTTACTTATATATCATTTATATTATCTAAAGAAAATTTCATTACTCCATGAAACAAATTAAACAAAGATTTTATAACTTTTAATCTAAAACAGTAATTCATTCAATGAATCTGTGAAAAAGAGAATGATTTCAGATATTCAAATAAATTTGATACAAAATTAAGTTTTTTATAATGAATTTATTTTAAAAATAATAGCTATTAATTGAAAATATCTATGCTAGGAAATCATATTTAAATTATTTAGAAATAATATAAAAATTTATGTCTTACATTCATATGATGAAATTGAAGTATTGAATACTACATTACTATTTTCATATAGTTCTAATAAAAAAATCTACGAATTATATAATCATGTTTAAATCATCAGCTTGGTTTATAAGCATGAGTACAAAAAATAATCCATGAATAGTTCAGAAATTATTATCATAATCATTTTTTTAGATGAATTAACATAATTTGAAATATATGTGTGTACATATATGTACGTACACACAATTATATATCTAAGCTGTCAAAATTAGACTTTGTGGGTAGAAGACATTGATTTTCATCCAGAAACTCATTAGTCCCCCTACAACTTTAATATTCATGTAGCTCTCAAAGCAAGATGTTTGAGATTTAATCCTCTACCCTGATTCTGAAGAAACCACTCGAGATATTAAAGACCTCTAGACAGCCGTTCTACTATACAGTTTCAAACCTTCAATTATGGACGTCGTTCTTTTTGGAACCTGATTTCTAGTTTCCTAAACATTTTATAAAGTCATATCAATCTGATGGAAAACGGGCCTTAATCTTAACTGATTTAGCTTCAATTACTTATCTAAATAATGCACATATTATATCCATAATCTTCAAATCAAGAAAGAGATTCAGAAGAAATGCACTTAATTTGAATGGAAGAACAGATAGACTAGCTGGGTATGGAAATTTACTCATCACCTCATGTGCAGGCCCTGGAGCTCTCTACCATGTCTTAGCTGAAAATATAGGTTTACAAATATTGTTTTATCCTGACCTGTCACAAGAGCTGGAATAGCTCAGTTGGTTAGAGCGTGTGGCTGTTAACCACAAGGTCGGAGGTTCGACCCCTCCTTCTAGCGAACCCCTTTATTTCTTCGGACCTACTCGTCATTTTCGCCTTTTTGTTCTCCTACATCGGGAGCACTAACATGAAATACCATCTGAGCTACGCGGCCCGGCAAGTGCTTTTGTTACTCAAAAAAATATTGTAATTTACGCGTTCCGGGGCAATCTAGCAAACACTGGCACACAGTGCGAATTTTGCACAAAGATGGCTGTTTTCCACGAACCACAAGTGCGACGCTATGCATGCTATAATCGCTGGGCCAAACCGCGCCGGGACGACTGGTGCTAAACCCCACGCAACTCGGCCGAAAGTGAGTAGGAGAAGCCACACGGTCTGAGGTTCGACCCTCCATCTAACCCACTTTCGTTTTCGCGACTTACTCTACATTTTCGCCTTCTTGTCTTTCTAAATCGGAGCACTCATTTAGAAAAGATATTTTTTAAATTACTCTAAAATACTGATCGTATTATGGGCTTACAGTAACCTTGTATCAGGTATATATCTATGTATACACACTAAACATTTCGATCAAAATATGAATTCTAATTTCATATGTGATTGCTTAGTGAACTAATAAAAAAAATTTGCATCTAAGTAATTATTTATGGTAAAAAGAACCCAATGACATAAATTAGTATCTTATAATATAATTTGTGTCAATACATGAATTTTATTCAAATTTTTTTTAAAGTCTAAAATATTTTCATTAATCAAATCTAGTTATCCAATTACATGAAAGATTAAGGTCTTTCAAATTTCATGTCTAAAGACTTATCATATTGACTAACATCTTAAATTTATATTAAATCAGAACTTGATTATACAATATACATATAATTGATATTTTTAGCATAAATAAATATCAATTATATGTACTAAGACACAATAATGTTGTTTGTTACACACAAACATTTAATTCATCTTTAAATATGAACGACAAAAGTGTGAGCATGATATAGAAAGAATTAAATAGTTCTAAAAACGTAATTTAATATATCATTATTTTTTATTGTGATAGAAATTCATTTTCAATAATAATAAAGAATAAGAACTAGAATTTTTAGAAAAAAGACATCCAAAACATTTCAAAATCGGAAAAAAATATCAAAATATTTTTTTTAATAAAGAAGATAGAAAACACACGTAAGTTATGATGTCTCAATATACTTCCTATATATATCAATGTACATGGAAAAAACACATATTTCAAATTTTCAGCAATTGAAAACTATATTAATTATTAATAACAGTCGATATTGGTCATAAAACACAGAAATTTTAATATTCATATAATTTTACAATTTATATTTAAACTTACAACTGAATATAGAAATTTTTACCCTGGAATCTATCTTCCAACTGTCATTGACTAAATAAATGCTTCTATTATAAAAAAACGAAGCCTTTGTATGATTAGATGGATATGTTTATGACCTTAAAAATATCAGTATTCAATATAGAAAATTAGAACTAATGTGATACTATATAACTTGAAGGTGATAATATATCATGTGTTTATTGTGAGTTATGTTTTTATACAGGTAGAAAATTTCTTTTCTTATCCTTTAGATGTTATTATTTTTTAAGGTAGAGCAAGATGCAAATTATATAACAAAAATGATGACATAGATTCATCAAATCTTACAACTATGAAACTAATCCAGTTGTTAGTAGCATCAATATGGGAAAAATTGCATACTAAAGATAATGGATATGATTGGGAAAAACTTGACCAAATAATTTTTAAGTAGACTTATGATTTAACTCTCACTAGCTTCACCATGATGAGCTACTCTAGTCAGCTTGACACTATATAACAGAGCTGATTCTCAAGGACATAATTAAGATTTTCTAATGAATCATTATTGTGTATCCATGGACATTACCTAACGAGATGAATCATCTATCTTTTTTGGTTTTTTCTCTATTGTGTATGTGTGTCATGTTAATGTTTGCATCATAGATCAATGATTGGTTTCATACCAATATATTGGTCTAATATCAATTGATAATTTGTGACTTCATAAAAAAATTGGCAATAAATGCATTGATGTTTTTGATAAGCACAAAAGTGCTTTACATCAGTTTTGCAATTTTTGTACATTAAGAAGGAGATTTATGTCACCAACTTTATCATTAATAAAAACAAAAAATCAAACACGCACAACAAAAAATCACATTTGCACAAAAATTCAAAAAACCAAATTGTTGTCAACTCTATTTAGATTGATTCATCAATCTAATAATCAAAAGTTTGATCACAATGAACTTTCTAGATCCTATTACAAACAATCAAAGGAAGTTATAATCTCCACAACTAGCATCACATGAGTCATCTTTTTTCATCTAGCTGCATAGTTTGTTGGAAACAACATTGGTTTTGGAAAAAAAAAGGATTGTTGCACAATTGAAACATATACTACTAGTCAATGAATTTTTATTAAACATTCAGAGTGATAAACATAATTTCTTAGGTATAAGAATGAGTATCGATGTATTTAGCATTTCAAACTTTACCAGCTTACAAACTACAAATTTCATGAATTTTTCCAAATTGAAATATTCATGATGTTGGATAACAAACAAGAGCTAATTTCTTGACCTACAAGGTATTCATATACAACTTGACTAGTTGCTACATATTTGTGGTAACTTCGTGTTTAGTTTTTTTTTTGAAAAGATGAAATGTGAAGAGTAGATGGATAGAAATTTACACTTTTAGGATAAAAATAATTAGAAGCAGATTAAATAAAGGATTCTGTAGCAGATGAAAAGTTAGTAATAGTTGGAATCCATGACAGACACCCCTCTCTTGGAATAAGTGTTTTTACTTGCAATCAATAAAGTTAAATTAAATGAGTCATGATTTGCTAGAGTAAATACTTCACAACTTTGTGAGTTAATGGTGACTTGACTTAGTAAGTATCTTGATAGATAAAACTCGACATGCTTGTTACAACAAGCCGAAGAACTTCTGAAACGGATAAGGAGTTAACGAGTTATGAGTGTAAGAGATGGCTGGTATGGGTAAAGAGAAGTCGAAGAGAGGACTTCCGAATTCGGCTTTCCAGCAGAAGGGACTTCGGTTTAGTAAAAAGAACGAACTTTGTACAACCAATGTGCACGAGTTCACTAGGCTGGCGTCAAGATACAATAGCAGAAAAGGTAGTTCCGCATGGAACTACCTTTTCTGCATGGATATTACCGCATGGATATTTCGGGAGAATTATTTTTCAAATCGAGAGATAAATGAAAATCGCAAGTGTACAATTGAGTGCAAACGATGGTGCAAGTTCCAGGACTTGCACCATCGTTTTGCAATGATAGGAGAACATTTTGCAATGAACAGATAGCTACCAAACATGATCTCTTGCTGTGAGATTAGAATTGGATTTCCGCAGCGATTGTGAAAGAGTGGTATTACGATTGCACGCCAGAGGGTAATGGAATTCGTGGGAACCATGAAAATTGGACAATTGAACAATGGACTCAAGTCTTGGGGCCGTGTGTGCAGATCAGACCCGCGATTTACTCTATTCCACATCGAAGGACGATGTGTAGATTCGAACGTCGACTGGAAGACAAATTAAGAGCAATGATTGCCGAGGAGAAGATGAGCAAAAAATCTGCATTTCTGATGTTGAGGATAGAAAACCTCGCGCAACACACTCAACAGTGTTTCAAATTCTGTGAGAAGTAGTGGATCATGCAACGGAACCAATTAATGACCCAATAAAAAAAAAATTGGTCTAATCCCAACCTCCTCAGTATGACTCGATCGCAAACACTTCCGAGCATTCACTTGGATAAGACTGTCACACAACAAAATGTCGCGCGAGCCCATTTACAACACCATCCTGCGTCCTTCCTACGAACTGGATGTCATCCTTCTTTCTATGTAACCAAAAAATTGTACCTGATTAGATACCGAATCTCAGTCGGCCCTCTGGAGTTAATTATGTTCGCTGATCTGTCCATTGTACTCGAGAATAATGAGACTGCAAGTGTGAGAGCATCCTAAATCCAAGTCAAATTTAGAAAGGGAACATACACAATTATTCATGTAAACTAGTGGCATTGCGACGCATGTGATGAATCCGACTGAGGCTAAAACCAAGTGCTAATCCAGACCTTGCTGCCTACATCCCTTTGCTCCGACAATAAAAGACTTATAAGCCCTGAAGGCTACCTTCCATACTTTATTTATGTGTCATGAGAAGGATGCTCAACGGACGCATCATCCTCAATGAAACTTTTGTATTTGTACATTTTTTCCATAGCAACACATGTGTTGGTACTAGTTAAAGCACTAAGAACACCAAATCAGATCGAGCACAAGATCATATCTTACGTGAAACCCTACCCCAACCCATAATGAGTTGACTTTTAGCATGCTCAATGCTAAGCCTGATACCTGGAGACCAAAACTGAACTGGTGGGCTTTAGGTGGTCTGAGAAATGGAGAACAGGGTATGGACCCTGCAAAAAAATTCTGAAGATCACCAATAGACCACCAGCAGTCAAAAAGGGAGCCAGGCCCTCATTGGATTGAAAAACTACCACTATTGTCATCCACCTTCTAGGAAAAGGGATAGCAAAGCATCCTCTTAAAAAAAGAAAAAAGCTTGAGTGAAGGTGGAGGGAGAGTAAGTTAAGGGGCTTCAGAAGGTTACAGCAAGAAAGTTCTCGCACAAAATTTGGCAGGTCTGGAATTTGTCGTAACAGCCCAGACTGGCAGATGAAAATGTGTGAAAATCCACACCCCCGATTGTACACTGAACCCCATCGGGAGTAGGTTCAAATGCACGGGGGGAAAAAGCATGAAAAACGAAGAAAATGGAAATTCTCTGAAAGTCATACGCTCTACTATCCTGAAATAGTTTGCTCTGTGTCCTGTACAAGTTTCTTAGAGTATGAAGCTCAAATCTCCAAGAGTCTTTGAACTTCTCAAAGACTTGAGCTCCCTTCCCCACAAATTGGTAACCGTTGTGTTTACGTTATGTTAGTTTTTGACACAAGCTTCGACTTTTGCAGCCAGGTTCAAGTGAAAGTTTTAAAAAGCTTCTGCAATGCATTAACTATGTCATCGGCAGTCAGCTCGGAACCTTCTTCGACCTGAAACATTGAAACATGCTTGCATGCATTAGAATAGCCGCAAATGAAAACAGAACAGGATTAGCTCATCACTATCTTCGAAGGAAAGAAGCCCGTCAGCTACAACCCAATAGCTGACGAGCAGTTGAGGTTTTGAAACCCGAGCAGCAAGACAAAGAGACCAATGTGCTTTCCCACCAAAATCTCTCAAGAACTCAAAGAGAATGAGAAACAAGGGCAGGCCTCGGTGTTTGATTCGTCAAATAGCGAAGCCTGATTCATAACCGTCAAAAAGATCACTGGGATCTCCCTAAATTCAATGCAGACTCAACTGAGCACCTTGTTGGAGCAAAATAAATGCAAGAAAGAACACTCCCACCATGAATATCGGATTTTCTTAACTAGTATTGATAGTCAACCGACCCATCAACTCATGGGTTCGTTCCGCTGTAAATCATTTCAAATGGAGACTGTCACATATACTGTTTTGTTTCTGGAAGTAATTACTTACTTGCAATACATAGGGCAAAATACCGTGAGAACAAGACACTGAAAATTCATAATAAACAGGTTTGTACATAATATCCTCAACAAAAAATTTGGTAGGTGGAAAAGAGTCACCTTCGCATTGAAGGTCAGGTCAAGAGCGGTTGCTGAAAAGGAAAGAATGTTCGCACTGACAACGACCAGACGCAGCTTCTCCAATTCCGCCAAAGATTTTACTAGCACACCTTTCTTCTTCTCACAGTGCAGTTTAATGAGAACATTTTTCTCAATCATACGAGCTTCAATCTCTGCAGCCTGTTCTTCATCTTCAACCGTTGTGACAGTGGTGTTCTCGCTCGTATCCTCCTCATCGCTGGCGTTTCTAGACTGTTTCTTCACAGTGTAAACTGTCCGCAGGCCCTTCTTTGGAGTGCTTTCTTCTAAGGTTTTAACCCGGTCTTGTAGCTGCTTGACATATTTGATTGCATCACCAAGGACGGAAGCCTTGTCCATCTATCAAATAAAAAAGGACAGAGTGAATGAGGTGTATTTTATCACTACTTTGTGCTTCGTGATTCCTCTGAGAGAAACTGCTTGCTTGATTTTATCTTAGATGCATAGAATAACATTTTGAATTTGTTTCAAGTAAACCAATAGCTGAAAAAAGAAACGTCACAAGTAGGATACTGCGGCCTTTTTGACAGAAATTAATATTTGGTCTAAGGTCTCCACATACACAGCACACATGTTAAAACTCTGCAAACTCTGAGGAAGATGCCCCCTCGGCACAGGAATAGTTAAAACGAGCGACTCACCTTTTTAAGTCCTGGTACAATGGCAGACAGTGCAATAAAACGTTGGCTCAACTTCTCCCGACGTTTCCTCTCGGCCATAATGTGGTCTTGTGTGTGACCAGAACCTTTCACAGTGGTGAATGGTGCTTGGACAGCATTGACTCTATCCGGCTTCACATCCACGTAATCCATATCTGGTTTTCTCTTCCCTGGCATTGATTCTCCAAGAGAATTTGGACTCTCTCTTCCACAACTGTTACTCTCTGTTTCTATCGAGGAGTGTACATCGTTGCAATTTTCCTGGATTCTTAATCCGTTACGACATGGAATAGAGGTTGTTGTTGAAGCAACAGACTCCAGTGTTTCATCAGGTATTTTCGACAAAGAAGTAAACCCTTCAGTACGATGGTTCCCAATCTTCTCGGGCTGCAAAAATTGCACCATGCGGTGCTGAGGTTTTCCAGAGTAAATCGGTACAGTGGAGCTCCTTTGGCCTTGCTGAGAAATATTTCCTTCCCAAGCATTCGACCTCAGCATCTTCATGGGCCTTTCAAGATTACAAAGGCTGTCCAATGGAGATGAGTACGATGAAAGATTGTGAGGAGGCACTGCACTCGGGATCTTCACATCGTTACCTGTCTTAAATCCTGGCATCAATGAGGGAAAGCTAAGATTATGGCCATTTTGGTGTCCGACGACATTCACAAGCGATTCTGATGTAGGGGGAAAGAGACTATCTAAGTGCCTCACAAGAGAAGGATCCTCCAGTCCCTGCTTAACAAAAAACAACGTCTCAATCAGGAGAGAAACGAAACACAAACTCCATGTATTCAAAGGAGATCGAACTTCAGTCGCTGACTTGCAGGTAACAGACATCCATCTGACGTCAAAGGAAGCCATCGGCAGTTACAAAAGTGGAATAACGAGCGCAATTTTTGTAAGTCTAAAAGTTTGCAAGAGGGATATACTGCGGTGAAGGAAAACCCCTCAACATTCTGTCTCTTATGATCATTCAGAAATTAAGATAGGACTGTACCATCTCTGACAACCACTGCATCGCACTAGTAGATGAAGGTGCAAACTCCATTGTTAAAAGTCCAATAACATTCCAGCTCCAACTGCAATATTAAGTGCTTGAAGAGCTACGCTGCGAGTTTTGAACCTGCAAGCACATCAAAGAAGTTTCTGTCAAACATAACGTCAAACAGCAAGACACCTTCAGGTTGTGAGAGGTGGAAAGTTATGAAATATCTTCGGACCCGATCAAATATCATGCACGAAGGTAACAATGAGGAGAAAGGTGAGTACGGTAGAAGCCTAGTAACAACTAAAACAAGAGAAGAAAGAGAAGAAGAAGAATAACTCAAATACATAAACAGTAACCAAAACAATTCCAGTCAAGAATTGAGCACACACGTAGTGCAAACGCCGATACCCCGGTGCGTCCGCTTAAAGGTAGGATCCAACAAGAACATGTACAACATGATAATGTTGTGACAGGAGGAGAGGAGCAAAAACTGAAAGAACACCATGAAAGCTCTCTTGCAATTATTCTCATAGACGTCATGTGCTTATCGCTGCTACAAAACAACAGCATGTATAGTAAAATGACGGTATATCAACACACCCCCCACCTAATTTACTTCTCGTAGCAAATTAAAATTTCATTGTTCTTTGCCGTAGTTCAGTTACTTTGAGGTTCATCGGACATAATATGCCGCTCATATGGTTTCCTACGAAGTTTCCATAGGATTGCTTCTGATATCCGTCATACTATGCGCAGGTTCTTGCAATTTTAGCGAGATTGTCCTAGCGCAAACACGGATAATAAGAAAAAAATTATTGTGACGAGCAGACATAAGGAAACTCGTGAAACTGTCAGTGTAAAGACATGAAGCACGCCTACTCGAACGGAGCGTAGACAGAACATAGCGGAAGGTTGTCAATCAAGTAGAGATCAGGTAATGTCTCCGACAAGTGAGAAACATAGAACTGAAGATGCTGATAAATTGGGGGCTGTTATGTTATTTGACGAAGGAAAATTAGTCCAGTTACAAATTTAGCTCTTAGGAAGACTGAACAAGTGTAAACTCACACTCTGATAGAATTCACTGTAGATATAGTCCAAATCGTTCTTCATCGCCAGTGATATTCCATATCTGACTTAATTATTCCTGTTAACAAACTATTCATAGCCTCACTAACAGGGTTAGAGCAGCACAGGTTGTGAAAGAAATGGCGTAACCAGCTTCGCAGTAGTTTCAGTATTTGCAGTTACGTCAGGTGTAATTCTTGGAATAATAAAATTGATTCCTACGGTACCTTGTTTATCGGAGACTTTCAAAAATATATCCGTCGATGGGAGGTACGCACGACCTCCTTCGAAGATGAGCGCCTGAAATACTCCAATATACACTAACTCAACGAAATAGTATATGCTGGAGCATACGGAACCAAAAATGATCGGCTTTTAATATGTTTCCTGGACACTGCACAGCAATGAATCCGGAACAAGGTCCGTCGACATGGCATGATACAGTGCTTCCATCCAGTGCTTCCATTGGACTAGAAAAAGCAAATGCGGAGATACAATGCTGTATCATACCATGTGCACTAGTTTCAACTCTCCGCAAGGACCGACCTGGTACGGTGGAAACTAGCTCGAAAGCTACAAGGGAAGGATAATTTAATTCCGTCAGAACAACGTGGTCGCTTTCAGAAGAAACCAACATCACAATATTCTCTACACACAGCCCATTTCCGGTGAAAACGATCATCAATTGAATCCGCTGGAGAGCGAGAGGTTAAAATCAGGCTGGCTTCGATAGACCGCTCCTCTCCAAACTAGGCAGGCATATCCAAGAAAGGGCTCAACATTGAGCTGCCAGAGGTCGGGTAAGACTGCAGAGCACAACACCCAAAGAAGGAGGTTTTCAAGTACGAACCGGAGCTGTTAATCAGAGCGAACTACCCCAGAGCGATTACAGCGATGGACACTTCCGACGCGCAAACATAAGCCTCGAGTTGCAGCTCCCAGCGCACGCACGCACAGCTTATCCGAGCCCCATCGGTCCCCACGAGGCGAACAAGCTGCTGCTGCTGCTCATGACCAGAATTACAGATCCAAAACCTACGGCGCCTTCCTCATCTACCTAGCGGCCTCGCCCGGCCCGCAGGCGCATCTCCCGAAGCCGGAATACCATTTTCTTCCGCTGATCTTCTTCGCCCGCCTCGTTCTTGCCTTTCGTGCCAGCTGACCCGCTGCTCAGCGCAGCGCAGCGCCCTCTCCTCACTCCGCGCCTGCACTCGCCATTCGATCGACCGATCGCTCCCCGACTCACTCCCAGCTCCAGCTCGCGCTCGCGCTCTCGCCTTTCTGTCGTCGTCCTCGTCGTCTGACACTATCCATTCCCTCCCTCTCTCTCTCTCTCTCTCTCACTCTGCCCCTCTCCGTCGGCCGTCGTCCGGAACGTTAGCGGCGCATGGACTCTCTCGGGACTCTGTCTCTGTCACTCTCTCGATCACTCGCCCCTTCGGCTCTTCTTGTGTACCCTATAGGGTACACATCTCAGTCCCTGTCCCAGTCCCTCCACGGGTCCGGTCCCGATCGATGTCCCCTTCACGCTACTCCTGCCACACAGAAGAAGGTCCACGGAACTCCGAAAGCGCTGCAGTTGGATTTGGTGAGGGCCCACCACCACCTCGGTCCGTCCGCCCCGACTTCTTAACTCTACCCTCCCCACACTCTACTCCACCCGCGCCGCGAGATAAGCACCCGCATCATTGCCCCTTTTCCAGCCGCAGATTTCCAGAACCGTCCGATTCTCGGTTTTATTCCTTTGGCTCCAGCCAACCGTCGATCTCGATTGCGGATGCCACCCGAAATCGTCTCATTCCCCGATTTCGAACCGTATATCGTGACGCTTACTTTATCCACCCGTCCGTGGTTTATTTTATTATAGACCTTGCATGCAGCGGTCTCAATATCGGGGTCGATTTCGGCCGTCCGATAAGTCCTTTGCGCCATGACCCGTCCGATAAAAGCCTTTCTTTTTTGAGATTTGTAGAAAGAAAATTGCTCTATTTATTATGGTATAAAGTGATTCGCGGGGTAAGCACCTGACACCCTGTTCACATGACATAGTAAGATCATTTTGATTCAAGTGGAAATCACAAAAGACTTTAGATAAGAACAGTATAAATGTACAGTCATTGCGATACAGTCATGTATACTATACAGTAGGTTATCGATGAAGTACTGTAGTACAGTAGAGCCTCGGACAAATCGGCCGCCTACTGTTGACGTCTACGGCTGACAACGACCCGTGGCTGCAGAACGCGCAGTAACCATGGCACCAGCCATCGAGGCCACTGATCAACCACCGGCGAGGTTTCTCGCAGTTTTCAACCCCATCATGCGTTTCTGTGCTGTAGTTCCACGTGGCAAGGCCCAATGCTGGACCGTCTGGCACTGTGACACTGTGCTTCAGACTGGGGATAGGGACGGAGAATTCAAACACATCCTTTACTTCTACCGTACGGCAATCGCGCAAGATGGTACGATTATCCCTGGTACGATACTCGGCTCGATGTCTTTGGTAGTACTTCGCTTCACAGAGGACTGTTGAGATGGTTCTTATGACTACCGTATTTCTCAAGTACGATGTAAACTTTCGGTCGTTCTGTCCTGCCAGCGCTTTTCTACATCTCGTAAGGAACTGTAGGAATGCTCGATGAAAATGCACAGTTGGAAAAGACGAATACAATTGGATTTTGCAATGTTGCTATTTTGCCAAGTAGTGACTTCATGACAATTTTAGACAATATTCTTCAGCATATAAGGCATATACCATCCGGAAAAAGCAAAGAGAAACAGATGAACATAGCGAAATTTTGGGGAGTATCCCGTCAAGTATATGACACCAAAGGGATCGTATGAAATGAGATCCCGAGAGCGTCACGAAGTAAATATTTTACCGTTATAATGAACTATCTGGATTCAACTATCTACGTGATTTTCTGTCAATACTATAAATATCATTAATCTTGCATGGCTCAGAAGAATTATTAAAAATATAGAGCAGCGGACTCAAGGTATATAAATAACACACCTACACAATAATAATCGGTGTCTTCTTGTATGATAAACTCTCGCAATATTGTTAAAAATGGGATTCCATGGCTTAACAAGTGTTTTAAGGATTGAAGTAGATTATAGCTTCAAGCATATTACATTTCTTTCAAGAAGTTACGTGTTCACTCTAAACAAAATGACCAGAATGAGAATGGCTGAAATTGATCTGTCTAAGACAATGAAGATAATAAACATAAGGGACTTTGGAGAGTAACTCGTTAAGCAGATTAGAACTCGTCTATTGTTGATACACGAGTTTTGTAGTTCCCTGAGGTCAATTTTTTCATTGATTTTGGCATTATATCACAGTGTAGAGAAATATTCATCTCTTACAACACCTTAGGGTGAAGATGGATCTTTTCAGTGCAATGGACATCTTGTTAAAGCTCACACAAGAATATGCTGATTGGAGTGAAAATAGCGTTAATTCGCGCGAAGCAGTGAGTTGCTAGAATAATATGGGTTGAATCAATAATAAAAGCTTAAAATCAAGTTCGCGCTGTCATTAACAGCTTCTCGTTAGTCACCGACCAATAGTAATTGCTGTTGGAAAAAGGTATTGTGTCAAAAAAGATGTTTAACGAGTGTCGATTCATGACTCTATATAACCTCAAACTATTTCCAACAATTGTGTTAAAAAACAATTACGAGCTTTCCTAAAATAAAGGATAAATATAATCATACATGTACTAAAATTTAAGTCTCGTTTTTGTAGGAAGGTATTAATTTCCGAGTTTTAGTCTGGAAAATTCAAAGATGTTAGCATATTGTAGCCTAAAAATCTCCCATTCAATATCAAAATCTCTAGCTGATATATATATCAACTTGTTCAGTTCTCTGGTCTGAAATGAATGTTCCTCAACTGTTCTCTAAGCAATACATCAATTCTCAGGAGAGGAGAAGGAAGTCTAGTTGAAATATTGCTTCTTGTTGTCAATCTTCTTCTCTAATTAGGGTCAATCTTGCTCGGAATTACTCAACATTGAATGAACATCAAAACTCGCAGTAACCTGGTAACAACTTGACCAACCAACTTACGATGCAAGAAATATCAATTGTGCATCACTTACTCAGAGGTTTTCCCATAATTCGCTCATTTTGTTTGTCATTACAATGCATGCCCTCGTAAAGTTGGAGGAAGGTAATCATTTACTTCCCAATTTGCAAGTCACCAATGCCACGCTCAACATTTCAGGACTTTTGGAGCGTAGTGGAGACACCCGACAACGAAAGATACAGCACCACTACCGTACTTTAACTGCTGAAGTAGAAGGAACACATATTTACCAGCATTGAAGTAGAGCATTTACTGCTGAAGTTACGACATATTATCGTTGATTAGGGGATCAGTTAAGAGTAATATCTCGGTCAAGCTCGAGGAAGTTATAATTGGTATTGTTTGTGGATTCCTCCTCCGAGAACAGCCAACACTCTCTTCTGTCCCGTTATCAATTTTACACTAATAGAGCAAAACACACCAATTCATTACAATATCACATGTATAGATTCTTGTCCCAATGTAGCCTTCGAATCTACATTGGTACCTATGCATAATTGTCGCTTCGGATATTTTTGGAGATAAGGCCAAAAGTGATACATTACACATCGTTAATCCTTGATGACCTTTTAGCTCAGCTGAATGAATACTTTTAAAATAGTAATTAATCAGTGATAGATATTAATTTACACCTTATTATTATCTAGGCAAGCAAGCTTACTAGTATTATTCACTGTGCAAACCTTTTATTTAATGTTATTATAATCAACCATTGTCTAAACCAGAGGATGTATCTTACCATTCACGTCGAGGTGATCTAACGGAACGGAAGAAGAACAATGTGACTATTGCTTGGGAATAGGTGAGTGGTAAAAAACGTATGCCTAGGATTTCATCCAGTGACAACACAAGCAATAAATTGGAACTTTATATGGATAATTTACATTTCCTATACGATAGCGGCATATGCTCATCAAAACAGACTGTACTAGTTATACTCCATCATATTTGAAATCCCTTTTATGAATATTGTATGCCGAGTAGTTGTGTTTTGAAGGCTACATTCTCGAGTATTAAATTCAAACTATAGTTGTGTAATGATCTCATGTTTCAGTTCTCAGTTCTACACAACGAAATTTTATTTTTTAATGAATCATCATCACACTCAATTGTACGCGAATAACATTATGAACTACAAAATTTTGAAGTTAGATTAGAGATAAAACCTTTTTTCATTTCGCATTGAAATTGAATAGAGTTATAAATGTGTATTATGATGCATTGGATATCGTTATTTTCATTTTTGTATATAATTCATTTTTAACCATGTTTCCATTGGTTTGCAAAAAGCACGAACTAGTGTGAAATACATGAGAAGAATCTCGTTATATGATGCATCATTTGATGTTTATGTTATTTGAAATAGAGAGTTTGGATATTGTATAAGAAAATAATATTTTTAGAGCCATCACTAGGTTTCTCATTTGATTTCATACTTGATGAATTACTTACATTTTTTTTATTCACAATGTTACAATTTTTTGAATTTTCAGATTTATTTATTATTTTTCCTACCTACATTGCCAGCACTTACGAGACTCAAATGCAAACAATGAGGATTTCTACTTAAATGTTAATTGTCCAACATGAGATACTTCAAACTAATTAATTAAACTCTCCCACAACGACAAACTGACCAATGGACTATCGCGATCGATGTGAATGATAAATTTTTATATAGAACTCTCACGTAAGATTAGATCATTCAGTTAGATGGCAGTGACATGTGGAATGTAACGGGACATTGAATACTTTCTTATGTCTTCAAGATACAGCTCGGAGAATTATGCAGCATAGTTCTATTGCAAAATGCAACACAAGTTGTTCTTCGTGGCTGACCAGCCGCAGATTCAGCTGCGATTGCTCTTTTTAATACTGGGCCACGAAGATAGATTTTGACACAGATGTAAAACATAGTTAGAAACATGTGAATTTGTGAAACATTGTGTCATGGAGATGCTAAAAGAACGAAGAGGGATGGAAGTGTCATGGCGAAGGGTACGGAGCTGACCGTAGCATCTACTGCATGGATACATTCAGCCTCCACAATGCCAGCTTTGTCTCTATCCTCTGCAGCTTCTAGACACATATTCCAGGAAAATCTAGCAATTGCAATTTGACGCCAAACCCGTATTATTCCTCATGCCGTCCATCCTTCAAACAGTGATACTGGATATAGAATCGCTTCAAGACAGAACAAGGAAAATAAACATCAACGCCACTGGACTTGGCAAAAATTCCAAACTATTTCTCAAGACACGCGGCAAAACATCCGGAGGCAATCTACTACTGTAGTAATAACCAGGAGAAGGGTAAGATCCATATAGGGGAGAAGTGATTACTCACCCTTTACTATCATTCGCGAATGATGAGTAAAGGTCATGCCTTCCTTTTAATATTTGTTTCTTGATCTATGTGAGAAAATGAATACTCGAGCGATGCGCGCCAGAAATTTCGAGAATCACAACTCCACTGCGCTGATTTCACCTGGCACCGGCGGCCCCACACAACAGCTAAACATCCACAAATGTCACATAAGAAACACAAGAAACCCCACCTCAAAGTATGACCACAAGGTGATCCATCCTTAATTGAGCAACACCGAAGTCTACCGGTGAAATTTGTAGAAGTATTAAGTGCATAAAATAGGGAAGATAAATGCTAGTCACATCGAGCTGTAACGATGAAACAAGGTTCGGATGGAGCTAGTCCAATAACATGGCAGTTAGAAATTTATACTAGAGCATCCATATCGATGGAATCCATTTTAGATTAATCATGAAAATATTTATATAGTATGTCTCTATTCCACATGTTATGTCTCTATTCTTATATACTTCACATTTGTAAAGATCTCATCATCCATATATGTAGTAATGTATTGGTGAAAAGATTGTAATAAGAAAAAAATGAAGTATAATTAAGAGAATCTATATTACATGGTGACATAACCTACCAACATCAAAGATTTGAATCTATCCTTGTAGGATGTAGATAAAGATCCATTCATCTATGGATGTACATTTGGATTTATCATATATCATTTATGATTTTTGTGACCTGGAAATCATAGAAAATGATATAAGATCCATCCATCTTATTATGAACTAATCTCTACAAGTCCAAAAGGGTCAGTTATTGTTTTTGATAACACCGGTGGTCTAAAGGTCAACGGCGCTGCTAACATTGACAATTTATAATATACGGCATTGAGAAATTCCAAGTATTATTCACTTCGTTTGCCTTGGAGATGCATGGAGATCAGAGAGATGATACATTTCTTTGTGCACTTTTCCAAAGTGTAAAGGATCATTAATACATTCGCCAGATTGCATCTAGTCTTTTAGATTAGGCAGTTGTAGAAAATGATACCACTAGCTTTATGCTGCACACAAAAGAGTAAGATTGGTTTGATAGGCGACACTTGTTATGGATCTCCGGTTACCACCGGCACTGGTGAGTTGCATTCTAGTGACATTTGATGTGCAGTTGAAAAGATAGCTTTGGAGAAGGTATCTGTGAAGAGATATACACTTTTCATTACTTTTTGGCATTCAGGCTAGCGTTTATATTGCCTTTCTTCGCTTTTTGCATCGTACGGATATCCGTAGTTCAGCATCAAGCATATAATTGTAGTGTCCCACATTCTTTTAAGCGAATACAATGCATTATCTTCACACGCTAGTTTTCCCTCATTTATATTTTCTAAATCTTCAAGGAAATGACTACGAACTGATTTCCTTACCGCTTTTATGGGGAACGGCTTCAAGGAAATTCTTGCATTGTCTCGGGCAAGGCTTCTACACCGTCCGGTACAGTGATGTACCTTCTGTGAAGCGCGCAGGATCCCGAGGAGCTTTCACAGGTTTCAAACTGACACCTGGAAGTTCTCTCACCATCTATGATGTTGTATAGGTGCGAGAGTACGGATCTGACCGGCCATCAAGGGAACGTTCCGGAACTTCAAGTCTCTCGTTCACAGAGACCAATTGTTCCCGATTTAGATACAATACCATATTTCGTATTTGCCACATTGGCGTTCTCGTTTCATGGGGCTATATGATTTGGTCCTCGAAAGAGCTGACGTCGGATTAGGACCCACCACGTCATCACGCCCATCTCATCGAGATCTGAACTCCCCGTCGAAGGTTCGTCGCAGCGCAGCGCTGATCGTGTAAGTCTTCCCCTTTTCTGTAGCTGGAGCCTCGATCTTCTCGATGAAGATGAGCACAATCTGGAGCAGGAATGACTGAATGACTGAATGAATGCTCCTGGCCTCGAATAGTTTTCCCTCCAGGAATTTCGTCATCGAGGCTGTTCGGATTCCTGCTCCTGCTCGCTCCGGTAGAAGCTGCTGCTGACAAGCACTTACGGAGACTTTTGATGTACTCCGGAAATTGCAACTAGTTGACAAACGCCAATTACACCGCAAGAATTCGTGCGTCGATACGCTCTGGATGGACGAAAATGATGTCCGTGGTACTGTACTCCTTCGCCTCGCCAAGAGAATTGGAGCACGAAAGCACATCCGAAGCCTTAGAGCACGGTCTGCTTTCATCCTAACCTGTGGATGCCTTTCATACGTCCGGAAATTCCGCTCCTGCTGATTAGATTGCTGAGCTAGATAAGTATTATCTGTCGCAGACTTCGCGTGTGTTCGCGGCCTGAGCGACTGGTTTTCCAGAGCAGCGCTGAGAAGATTCCTGATTGGCGTCGGGTCACATCGTCGACGTTCGGAACAGCTGAAATGAGAACGCTCAGACCGAACGAGTGGAAGAAGACTGCGTCTTCCGTTTGGGGCCCGTTTGGGTCCACGGAGATAAGAAAGGAAAGCGAGAGCGCGAGCCCGGACACGATGCCATCATGCGTAGGGCTGCGTTAGCCGGCGAAAACTTCTGGAGGAGATCTAACGAAGTCTGCCGAGCTCGCGCAGTCCGATTAATCACGGCCAAAATCGAAGCTCGTAGGAATCTGATTTGGTGGGGATCGCTGTTCTTGAAATCCGCCATAAATTTCTATAACTGCGGGCATTCGGAACCATTCCTCCATTTGAAGGCAGTAAAACAAATAATAATGAAAAAAACGAGTCTTGCAAAAGGTTCTTGATTTTGTCGATAAAGTCTAATTTGTCTTGCGGCATGATCCGTGTCAGATGCAGTAGAAGAACTTCCCGTAAGATTTTCTCCCTTTGAGTTTCTCTTTGACCCTTAGGAGCAGTGTAAAGGCTGCATTCAGGCCCATACCCATGCCAATTTACCGCTCGCGTAAATGAGCCCTCGGTCAGCCTTACGGATCTTGTATGGACCACCCGAAAATCTTCGGCCACGCAAAAAGTAAACTTCCGACTCTTCAAGTGAACTGCTTGGTTCTGCGGAAGGATGTGAGAGAAGACGTGCAAGACTATGCAGGAACCATCATCCATCTACAAGCTCTAACACCGAACGGATGTATTCGACGAGTTAGGCATTTGAAGGCGGGAAGGGAGGCAGAGAGGACTGATCACAACAGGCTTGGGATTCTCGCATCGAATCTGGCGGATCCAGACGGTCACGGGAGAAAGTCGTTGAGAGGAGAGGCTCTGTCTGTCTGCCCTCTAGTTCTTAAGAGCATAAGCATGAGAACGACGAGTCACGAGATTCGAAGCTGGAAAAAGCACAAGCCGCTGGCCTAAATCACTTTTCCTGTGATCGAAATATTCTTGTCCACGGGAAGAGCTCGTACTCGGACTCGGACTCGGAGTCGAGTCGTGCCCATTCATTCATTCACCTTCATCATTCATGCGGTTGGTCCGCTCGGCTTCGTCGTGGTCTGGCGCGAATCAATGGCATTTCGTTTCATTCAAACGATTAAAGGCGAATGCCTTCGACCTAGCGCTTCTTTCCGCTCAAAGCAGCAATTTCCCGCTCGAGGCAATCATTTTCCCCGCCGACTTCAGACTGAACCGATCAACTTTCACATTTACCTCTCTTCGACCACAACCCTCGGCCTCGGCCTGAATTTCGCCACTCACCAGCCTTTGCGCATCGTCGTGTCAATTTCGTCGAGCAAGATGAGGGTCAGACATGCGTTCATGCAGCCGAGGAGATATTCTTCGGCATATTCCTCTTCGCCTCGGACCGACTGAAGGCCAACCAGAAGTTCCAGACAGACATCACGCATTGGGCCGAGATGACGTGTCTTGGCAGACACACTCGGTTGGCACCTGCCGTCGAGATGTGTCGACAGAGGCAGCACATGCCCTCGAAGGCATCCTGGTCTACCTGGCCACGGCCTGGCCTGCCTTGCGGATGTGTCATGAGCGGCATCCGAGGTGGCAGATGCCTCTCAACGAGTACCGGCGGCCTGGAGATGTGTTGGCAATCCTCCGTGGCCGTCGAGCGGTAGACAGGTTGACGAGCGCGACGAGCCGCGACCGCGGTCGCTATGATGTCCCCGCTCCTCCTCACCATCCTCCGACTGCGAAAATCGCGACAAACCTGCGTGCTTTGCGCGCCTGAAAAACCGGAACAACCGGTCGGCCCCACCCGTTGGCGACCGGTTGTGGAAAAGACGTGCTGGATCTCCCTCCGAGCGACGACTCGACATTCCCGACGCCGAATCTCCGTCGACCCTCCGGGTCGACGGCTGACTGTTGTACGGACGCTGATGTGTGACTGCTGGGACTGCGAGGGGCAATCTCGAGGTACCGTCACGTGCCGAGGGGTCGGGTAATCGTTGAGGCCGAAAGAGGGGCCCTTTGCTTTTGGTGGGTGGCTGAGTCCTCAAGAGAAAGAAAAGAGTCCCTTTCCGACCATGGACGGTCGCTGGACGGCCGTCGCTGGTCCAATCGAAGCCACTTGTGCACGCAGGATCGAATGGATCGGAGGCAACGCAGCGCAACGCTCCTTCGACCACCTCTCGCATTCTCGGCTGCCCATCTACAAGGCTATTCGACGGTAGAGTGCACAGAATCGGGGGGTTTCTGCGACGTGCGTGCCCGACCGGCTCCCGGTCCCCGAGGGGGGAGGACTAGGAGACGTTGGGAAGAGAGGTGGAACGGCTCGGAGAAGCGGCAGCACCGCAAACTCGGTGGAGATTCAAACTGGAGGAATTCAGGAGTCCCGAGTGTTATGACCTTCTCGTAAGCGCTCGCGCTCTCGCATTTGGTTGGCATTGGGAATAGAAGAATTCCTGAGCGAGGGAAATCCATGCTTTCTACTGAATCAGATCGGACTTTGAATTCTGGAACTCGTACGTCACCACTGTTCCCGAGCTCTTGCAGTGAAGCAGTCAGGCCTTGTGGTTTACAGTGGCTCTTGCCAGTCTCGAGGTGAATGAGATGTTCAGACTTTTCAGAGATATAATGCGGAGGTCTTTGGTGCGGTGCGGTGGAGATGCCATTAGAATCTGAATCGAAACTACTGGCGAAGCATGCTTTCTGGGCCCATAGAAATTTGAACAGAAGCACAAAATACTTGCTCAGAAGGTGAAGAGTTGAGAGTCTCAAGGACCCTATTGGCGTAAGGATTAACGTCTGCAATGACGAGGCCTCTCATCAATGGTTATATCCTCAGATCAAACTGAATCGATTTTTCTCACAGCCTCGCCCGTCGGCACTGGACTCCTGTTGACTGAATGCTACTTGCGAAAGACATGTTTGATATCTGCCAAATTCTTTTTTTCAGTCTCTTCTTGCGAGAAAACACTGACATCATGCAAATATAAAAAGAGCTTTGACCTTTCAAATGGACAAATTAACCCTGAGTAGAAGAACGTCTTCACGGAGAACGACGATGCACCTTGCTCCTATCAAGTGATAGGAGCAAGCTGCATCCCATCGGTGGCCAGTTCGGTTTCCCCAAGATGTTAAAATCTGCTAGATTCCAAGCTGCAGGCCTTGACGGTCACTGAACTGATTTCGGTGTTCGCGAAGTCACAATACTGCCCGTGACGATGAGAATCACCGAAACCTTGCCCCGTTTGATGACTGGACACTTGTGACACCGAGAGAAGAAACGAAGCGCCAGGGGAAGCCCAGTGCTCCATTTACAGCTCCCCAGTTGGGCGTAAAACGCGGGGAGCCAACAATTCATCCTTCCTCTCACCGAGTTATGCGTTTGAGACACATAATCATGCAATGGATACAATGCAGTCACAGGTCTATATGGGTTCATCAGCTCGACGTCACAATGTTTGCTACCCAAGACCAACAGGACTCTCATCTCACAGATTAGAAAATGTCTAAGCGTTTTGACCCGATTCCAGCTGGAGTTCTCGCGTTGCTTAAGCTGGCCAATGAGAGTACTATTTTGACACTTCTCTCAGAAAGGCAAGCATTATTCCAATAATCGGAATGCCTACGGGGGTCCCCAATGTTGCATGGGAAGACTGTCAGCCCTGCGCACAGTCAGACCACATCATTCGGAAGAGGGGATTGGAAGCCTGAGCATGCAAATAAGCAAAACCCTTCCATATATACCACAATCACAAGTACACGACGCTTACGTTCTTGCCTCCTAACATGGAACGTGAGTGCCATCGTGCTCGTAAACACATGGCTACCTGGACTATACTCTAATAATGCCCATCTGCCCGTGGGTTGAGAGGTGCCGAAGTGTGAACCCTAAATTGTTGCCTGGTTAGTGCATGAACTTTGCTATAGTATCACTGCGATTCCCTCCTGATCTCCAACAGAACCAGATCACTGAGCTTGTCCCCGATCTAGCTCACACCTAAGTTACATCGATTTTGGATGAAAGATGTGTGAGTAAAGCTTCAGTAAGTATATCAGCTGTAATATTTTCTCCTGCTTCAACCCTTTTTTAACCAAACCTTGCTATTCTATAAATGATGACTTTCAAGGCTGCGATGCTTTTTTGGTGTTGGCACGGAAAACAGGAATTCTTTTTACAGCAGTGACATATTTAAGTGAATGATTATGAGAGTTTATTGTTGAAAAATTAAAAAGGTTTTAATAATTATTATAGAGAAAAAAAATGAATCAAATTTTGAGGTTTGAAAATATAACTAGGATTAATTCACAAAAACTCATAATTTTTCAGTATTTCTACGATCGGTTTCAAAATTAAAATGTATAGGAGTGATGAAGATAGAACCAAAAATGTTACGCAAATGTCAAGAATTGCATCTACAATTATACCTTTATGCACTTTTCAAGCAAAACAATATTCATGCAATAGTGTTTCTATTCGTACATCATGACTATAATTTTTAACAAGAGAGACAATTCAAGATTAAGTTAATAATATTTCTTCATAGATAGTCAAAGGATCAAGCAACATGACGAAAAGATTCCTATATTATGAAGAGAGATTGCATAGGGTTACGTACTTACATACTTCGAGGCTAGATGTAACAACTTTCACATTCATAATGAGTGTTGGTGACAATCATTACGAGTAAACAATAAGGATATCACTCTTTTAGCTTACTTCATGTCACATGTTTTTATTGCTAAATAGCTAGCACCCATCAATGGCATCCATATAATAAATTTCAGGTTATTTACTTCTTTTTTGTTATTAAGTAAAAACACTTTGATAGGTCATGTGCAGTGTAACACTACAGTTTGTGAATTTGAGTGGAATCTTAGCTAAATCCTCGTCAGGAAAGGGTTCCTGACGAAGATTTGATTTCAGATCGAGTCACCACTCCAACTAGAGACTAGTGTTCATGGTTGGAACCTGTAGCGAAGAGAAAGAGAAGGAAACTTCCATGAATATGTACTTATGAGCTCTTCACGTTTTTAGTGTGCTTGTTACAAGAAATATGCACACTGAGAATCTGAAAGAAATCGTAGGTAGGATATATGTGATTGTCCTGCATAGGAGGAGCGCTCCACCAACTCAAAAGATTGTAATTCATTTACCTTGTCGCTGCCTTTTCTTTAACCAAGACATTCAGATTGCATAGATGACGTATAACTCGTACGACATGTATATGCAAGTTTACGGTCTCCACTGCTTCCTTTCGCTGAAAACGATGTAATTATCACAGAGATTTAGATTAAAGTTTTGAAGAGCAATGTGAATGCTCATATGATTTGGCCTGGCAAGCCATTCACTCTTTCCTACCTTCAATTCAGCATTGGATAAGATTATTAAACGAAGAGCGTGTCAGTGCATTATGCATACAAACTTTGTAGGTCCACTGACTACCAAATTCAACTCGGCAAGCGCAATGTTCCTTGTTTGAAACCACGCGTTCACTTCAACATTCGAATATGAGATGGCTTGACTGACAGTGGCTATGAACCTCGAACGAATATTTTATTCGTCAAACTATTTTCAATCGAAATAATTCATTACGTATTTACTCACATGTATTTTTTCTGCTTTTTAATTTACTGCTTATTTTCCTTCTTACTTACATGGCGACTTTCAGACCCTTTGTGAGGCAAAAGCTAGTATCCTACAAACTGCTCTCAGTAGTCAGAAATTGGAATGCAGAGATTGAGCATTAGAAGGCTACTTGTATACACCACGTACAAAGTAAACACATTAAAAAATTGAAAGCGAATTCGAATAATCGAGATGGAAGCCAGTTTGTGGTGAACGGTTTACTGGTAAAGTTAGTAAAAAATGTCAAAGTGTTTGAAACTTAAGCATGTGTCATCAGATGGACCTCTTTTAACAACCTACATGTCCGTAGTAATTTTTTTCACATGAAGGGCTTGATGCATATGCTCTCATGTCCAAGACTTAACTCCAGCGAGAGAGATTTCGAAAGCAAGGTGAAGCCTACTACCTCCTTAACGAATGGGAGGCTTCTATCGAACTGCAATTGGGTACATATGACAGGTGACATTAGGCTGATAATACAATGATGGTGTTCCCTCCCTGAAAGAAGTCCATATATTTATTGATACAAGACCCAAGCGACTGCACAACAGTAACAAAATCTCATGCCAAAGGAAGAATCAGGAGTTGAAATTCACTTGATTTTTACATTCCAAAATTTCGTCTAATGAGTTTTCGATCAGCTGTTGCCAACTTTCTTCAATTCGCTCATGTTGGTTGTTTCCACTCTGCAGAGTAACACACGTATAAGTCAGTAAATAACCGAAACATCGGTTCATTCAGGAAACTTGTTCTATACTGTTAAATATCTACAATTGCATAGTAAAATAAAAAGGTCTCCTCCAAGATAAGGTATCTAAGTTCAACGTTTTGAAAAGAAACGCTGCGAAATCAAAGACTACAAAAAAGAAATTTACGTACTAACAACTCCTTTGCCAAAATCGCTGCATATAAAAAGACAAAAAACATTCGTTTCTTGCCAAACAAAACAAAGGAGATTTCGAATTGACACAGGTCCCGTGACCATGTCCATGGTTTCCAAGAAAGGTCATAAACGAAAGGTTCTGGAAAAGAAACTCACGTGCTTCCAACTATAGCAAGCTTTTGTACTTTTGTTTCTTCAGCCCCACTTTGATTGTCCTCAATAAATACGGTCAAACTGCGTATGGTAACAAGAATATTGGACGGTAAATGAGACTAATACAAACATAATTGTTGAGTCCATTACTGATAATTATACTAAACAGGGATTACGAGAAGAAGTGTTTATGGTCTCCACGTACATTACTTCTACAATAAGACACCACAGACAGGCACATTATAGCTAAACCATAGATTATTCTGAGAGGTAAAAGCTCCACAAACCTTCTCACGTGTTGAAACTTTACATACTTCAGCAAGACAGGCTTTCCCTGCAATTCCAAAAGTCATCAATTGGTCCTCCACAAACATTACCGTGTTTCTAATTGAAGCTAAAACTACCAATTACTATCTGCCTCAAGACAAGGCGATGAAACTTTGAAAGCAATTGCTGCAATGATGCCAAATTTTCTCAAGGTGAATCACTAACCTGGAGTTGTTCAGGTGTTAAAGTCAAAACATCACTTGGTGGAAAATCACCCACATTCCTGCAGGCAGTTATTATAGACTTGTCAGCTGATGCTTCTTAACAACCACTCTGAACAACTGAATAACCTACAACAGAGATTCCGTCGAATCCAGCACAATATACCCACCAACTTCAACACAATTCTAGGTCACACAGTATTTACGACTTACAACTCACCCAAAACCCATATTTTGCCTGTTTGCGAATAACTTCACAGTTTTTGGACCTGCATCACCCGCGAGAAGAATGAGTGACTACCCTATCTGGCGTAGTAAAGAGCTGCATATTTCTCAATGCACAGAAATGATGAAATACTTTACAAGGTTAAATGCGTCAAATCAAAGCATGACGTGACTCACCCTCTTCGGCTGGTGCTCTAATGATCAAAGAGTGAAGCTTCACAACTTGATTGAAAGGAATGTAAATCAGCAGTTGCTCATCAGTATCGCTTTCAAGCTGTAGACCATTATCGTCCCTGTAACCCTGCACAAAAGGAAACGTTCAAAACATTCCCGTTCTAGCCTGGACTCCCACCAACCACAAAGACATGTTCGCCACGAGTGCACGCGCTCATTCACGATCTGATTTTAGTTGTAAGTATTTCCATGTCCTACCACAATGCGATATTGCATGAAAAGTCATGCAGACCTGTTTCAAAACGTTGATGAAAGTCCGATCAGACTTCTCATTCAAACACTCGACGCCCACCCAATCAATACATTCCACCAGGTCAATCTGCACCAGAGTCAGCTCACGCGAATGAGATCAGGCGATTGTAATGAGCTTATGAGATTATGCAATATCAATTGCCCTCATTTTTTGCGTTCACAGGGTAGGACGGTAACGATCGTTTCCCGCTTCATTTCTAGGGTTGCAACCCTCATTGCCAAGGAAGGGGACACTGACTTTCTTCTTTTCAAGACAATCCCATGCGCGATATTTTGTACTAAGACACGGATCCTAATTTGCTACAGGCAATCGACAAAATTCACGTTCTGACAAAATTCAAAAACATGAAGAAATCACTTGATTCAAAAATCGCAAGTCCCTAAGTTCGAAGAGCGAATTGTCCGCCAAGCCTCAGACATCACAAATAATACAAGCTCATTTTAAACGAAAGGATCAACCTCGAGCCGAAAGGCGAAAGTGCTGAGGACAAACTGACCTGGTGGCGTGCTGCTACAACTGCCGCCATCGAGATGAATTCTTATTCCCTCGATGACAGGGAGCGACCGATGTCTCCGCCTCCAGAATCAGTCGATCGTTTCCTTCACTTTCGTAGACGAGAGTCTGTGATACGAACGACGCGGAGGCACACGCAAGACGAATGAGAATGTCAAATTGGTGACAGGCAAGTCTGCTTCGAAGGCTTCATTGAGACCATGAATGAAAGGCAATGTCCCCAACCCCGCTTCCCAAATTCCGACCCGGCCGAGCCTCGAACCGGCTACTTTTAGCATTCCGATCGGTTTTGGGATATCCGATCACCAGACGGAACTGCCGGCTAAGAAACCGGCACGTATCTCTCCTCAGCGTAGCAACGGGGGAAACACCCGGCTTTCCGCTAACTACCGGTCAAAGCCCGGTTTAAACGACCGTCCATCCGCATATCCGGATTTCCACATAGGCGCTTGGAGCTCTTGGAAAATTGAATTAGATCTACCCGAATGTAATATGGGGCCAAGTAAGCCAGGTCTCAATAACACTTATGTCAAATACTATTAGTCTGGACTATACTAATTTTGAACATAAGTTTTTGTGATGCCAACCATAGATTAGTATGGACCAGACTATTTGTGTGCTTCAAACAACAATATGGACTATTTAGGAATATTCTAAAATAGTATGGATCTGATAAATAAGTTCCAGCCAAGAGTGAAGTTTATTTTTTATCACCTTTATTTCATTAAGTCCCTCTCATTTGCAAATCAGGTACGATTTCCCCATCAAAGTGGTTGATATGTTTCATTATGATCGCTGCAATAATTGTTTGATATGCCATTCTCCTCTCGCATCGATTGCCAATCCACAAGGAATCATGGCTTTAGGAGCATAGATGAGGCCGTTAGCATCGAGTTGCATGTTTACATGCAACGCGATGCTAACGGCCTCACCCATGCATGTTTACATCCCTGACATAATCCGCTACCAACTGCAAAGAGAATCTTTTCCCCGAGTTCAGCAGCTTGCTCGACCATTCGCCATCGCGGAGAACTTCATTTGACCACTGTTGTTCTCGTATCATCTCCATCTTCTTGCTCTCCCATCGTTTTGTCCGAGCATCCTTGATCTTGGAAATAACAAAAGGATATGCAGGCTGAACCTTGTTAGTAACACATGGAGGGAAGAACCGAAGGGTTGTCTTGGTTCTAGTCAACGCAACCGACATCGCATCTGATTCATTGTGACCTCCGAATTGTCCATGAATAATAACTTTTGTCTCTCGTAACGATCATGTTGAAAAGCACGTGGTTCAGAGAGCCATTGCGGGAATACCTGCATATCATTCCATCCTTTCGGCCATGTGCGATAACTTGCACCTGGCACATCATCTAATAAACCCTGAATCCCATAGGATCTATTTTTATTCGTGAAGATGATCATCGGTGCCTTTATATGTGAGGATACTCCCCCTATAATGCGGAACATCATGGTCATACACTATTCTCCGGAAACAACATCAGCATATTTGACATCGTTGTCTCCCCAAATTCCTAGGATCCGATCATTGTCAACATTCACTGCGAAATGAGTCTCATCCATGTTTTTTATTAGGTTTTCATCCAACTCGCTAGATGAAAATCCTCTAATTAGTTTCTAAGTGGTACGTGATGATCTTTTCAACATGAAGTTCTTTCTCTGGACTACATAGCAGCTATCTTGTTTGAGCGCGCACGACCACGTTGTGTTTTGCCATGAATGTTTGAACCCACATTGTCGTAATTTTGTTGAGAATCAGTTTGCCGTCTGCATCTCTGAAATTCGCATTGAATTCTCCCTCATTTGATTTGATAATGTCTCTAGCCAGAGTGCCAAGTAGGGCTGTTGAGAACTTTAGCCTCGTTTTTTGCAGTCGGTGGAACTCCTCGTTGAGTTCTACATACATGTGAGTCGTCCAATCTTTTGTGTTGCGGCCACGACCTGCCACAGCTTTGAAATTCTTTCTCGTAGCTTTGAACTGCTGATTCATCTGCAAAAACTCGGTATGCACACTAGCCTTTGAGTACTGGTCTTTTAGTTTCCACCATGACGATGTTTTTTGGACATTTGCCTTGTAGGATTCACGGAAAAGATGCGGAAAGTTTGCCACTACCTTGGCAAAAAGATCCTTCTTGCCATTGGAATCACATTCTTGCATCATCCAACAAAATACCACAATGCGACTCCCAATAGAAACCACTTGTTGTAGCTTTTTTTCTCGCTGTATGTCTGCCTAAGAGAATTCCTCCTGATGAGCTTCTTCCATAGCCTCTTCCTGTTGAGCAACTTCTTCTTGATAAACTACACCTTCTTCCGGATTAATGAACTCCTCTCGAAAGGCTTGAGAGCGAGCAAAACCAGCTATAATAGGAGAGGACAAAAAACACAACATTGAGTTGTGAAAAGCGCAAAAAATCGTCAGGGCCGGTACAGCGTTGGGCTATCGCCTATCTATCTTAAATGCAAAATAAGCGCGGTGCGTAGTTTGGACTACAATAGTTAAGTGCTACCCGTCACACATGCAATTTATATTACAGATAGAATTATGTATTAGTCGAGGCCATACTATATATGAATCCAGACTATTTGCCAATCTAGAGTAATTATTACATTCGGTGTACATATTAAAAGTTCAAGAAATCTGACATGCAGCGCAATTCATTTCGGCGATCTAGATCAAAAATCTTTGAAGTACGAAACATTGAAGAATTTTTTCCAATTCCAAATTATGATTCTAAATAGATGATGGCATTGCAAAATGCACCTAACTAAGCACCGAAGCGAACTAAAAATCGTAGGGAAATTATTCAGAATTGAAAAGAGATAAATTGATCTCCGCAGTATGACGGTCAGATTCGAAGAGGTAGGAAGAATATGAACAAAAAGCTACATGGAAGAAAATAATGAGTACAAAAAAATGTTCTTCTCAAATAAAACTAAATGGAATTGCATGAAATGGAAGTAAGATTATGAAACTTCTCAACTCTTTACCATGTTATTAACGGACACATCTGCTGGATATTCTAACATGGAGAGTCAACAATTGGACTAAGAAAGTATTGATATGTAATCATCAAAAAACCAGATAATGTCCATTCATTGGTGAAGTAAATATTTCAAGTTACGTCAAAATGCTTCTAAATAACTATTGTGATAATTTTGATCCAATTATGATATGATATGGTTAGATTATCTACTAACAAAGACAATTTCCACTCACTAATGTTGTTGAAAAAGAGTTTGATCATTATGTGATAAATGATATGTCACAACTAGAAGCATCCGTATAGATGTATCAAATTCCTTAGTAACAAAAACTAGAGTAGTTGGTTATCGTTATCGTTGGTAAGTCTTCCGTTTCCGCACAAAACTATAGAGACCAACCAAAATCTTCTACTAGAAGATCATAGAATCGGACTAATAGAACTTTAGTCAAGTCTGATTTATAGTTTAATTCATACATTATTGGAAATTGTGACATTGATATTGAGTATGATGATGTTACTACATTGATCTTGGAAGAGAGTTATATTTTTCTTACAAAGAAACTCAAGTTTATGTCAATGAATTTGAATAGAATGCTGCCATGGAATATGAAATCCAATTGTTGATTGACAACAAGACTTGGAAATTAGTTGAACTTTCTAGAAATCATATGTTGATTGATTGCAAATGGATGTACAAGATGAAGGATAGTCCAATAGTTGACGAGGAGAGAATCTTCAAAACTAAGTTGGTGGCTAGAGGTTTCACACATGATAAAAGTGTTGATTACAACAAAGTTTTTTCATTTGTATTAAAATATTCTACAATTTGTCCGGTATGTGCCCTAGCAATGATAATTAATCTTGTTATTGATCAGATTGACAAAGTTACATCAATAGTCTATAGATATCTAGAGTAGAGAATCTACATGAGGCAATCATTTGGGTTTGAGGTGAAAAGTAATTCAATGTTAATCTGTAGATTGCTCAAATTCCTATATAAATTGAAGATAACTATTAGACAATGTAATACGCAATTTGATGAGTTCATGGACGCACAAGGTTTTTCACAGACTATGTATGATCCTTCTGTCTACATGAAGAAGTTGAATAATGAAATCTTTAATTTTATTATTGTAATACTTTGAGTGGATGACGTGCTAATCTTGGCAAAAAACCAATCCAACATTGATGGATGCAGGAATCAATTGTAATCTACATTTAGATAAAGGGTTTGTATAAGTCAAAAAACATAGTAGGAATAAACATTCACCAAAAAATAAAGAAGAAGATTCTATGATTGCGTCAAGGCAAGTATATTTAACTTATACTTGACACATCCAACATCGCTAGTTTGGACTCCTGTGGCATCACATTTCAAAATTTTTGCAGCTCAATGTCCAACCAATGTTATAGAAAAAAATAGTGTCATGTGTTTTATATGACCAAGCTACATTCAGTTTCATGTCTTTGATTGTGTAAACTAGGTCTAATATTGCTCTAGCAATGAGCAAGATGAACATGTACATGTCGAATCAAGAAAAGTATCATTGGCAAGCAATGAAATGGGTTCTCATGTATTTTAACAGTATAAAAAATTATGCCTTATTTTTCATAGTTTATTAGACAATGTCAAATCTTTTTTAAACTACATTGATAGTATTTATGTACAAGATCTAGACTAGAGAAAATCACTAGATATGTGTTTACACTTGGTAGTTGAAGCATAAATTGAATATCTACCTTGTAGAAGTGCATAGTTCAATCTACAACAGAAGCTGAATATGTAACGGAAGCAAAAGAAAAAAAATAAATTTTGATTGAATAGATTTATCATTGAGATGGTTTTGAAACATGGCGTTATTTATCTTTATTGTGATAGCTAGTGTGTTTTACATCTTATTGCAAATTATATGATAAATATTAGAGTGAAGTACATCAACATCAAGTTCATTTATCGGACATGCATTATCTGATAAAAAAAATTGAGCTAATCAAGATAGTTAATCAAAATTCAATCTAGTTAATGAGTTGATCAAAGTTATTTCTTTGATGAAGTTTTGCATGAAGAACACACGTAGGGTTTTTTAGCATTTCAGTTACCTCTTTATTTTATTATTCTGTCTTGTTTTGGCTATGGCTTAAATCTAGTTATAAATAAATACATTTTGTTATACTTTCTTCAAAAACTTCTCGCTAAATAATTATATAGATTACACTTTTTATTGTTCTTTCAACATGTGTTAAAAAGTAAATGTTATGAGTCTAGTAGAATTCGGTTAAACTTTAATTAGTTGCTAGGCTTAAGTTGTCATTATATAATCTTGTTGACGTTTATGTTTTTCACTTGAAAATTTCATCAACAAGTTGTAGTTTTTCCCATGGACACAATCTCTACTCTTATGAAACACGCATTCATACGTCTTTGTGAATTCATGTTTTTAACTATCTCATATATTTTTATTATCTACGGTTATAACTTCTTGATTAATCATGTGAAGAAAATACCAAGAAAAAATGGTTTCATTCTAAAAATCGAATATTTTTAATTTGTTAATAAATTTTTTTTAAGTAAGAATAGTATTTTTGAAAAAAATACTTTATTGCACTAAAAAACTAAAAATTTGTCATTTGATTTAATCTATAATCATTTCATTCCGTTATTTTATTTTTTAGCTAAAAATATAAATATAAGATATTAGAGTCATTTTTTATTTCTTTGGTTTTCAAGAAAAATCTTCATTCATGAATTTATCAATTGTGTTTTTTTATTTTTTGAAATAAGAAAATTTGACAAACAAAGCCTTGAAAATGTTTTATGATCATAAGTGAATGTCACCAAAGCAACATATAATTATAGTTCAACAAAGAAATCATATTCATTGCAAGATCAATAAACATACCAATTATTAACTTGAGTTTCAAAAAACAATATTGTAAATGTGAACATGTAATGACAGATAAATAGCAAATGGAGCATAATGGTACAGATCCGATCCCACGAGGACAGAAACAACACTAAAAGTCATGATTTGTCACGCATTAACATTCTATTGACAAGTTTTACTTCTCATGCCAATGTCATTCCCATAAGACACTGCTCAATTACGGCCGAAAAGCAGAGTATAATCACTTTTGCAACCTGAAACTTGTCCAATCAACACCTGTGGGAATCGCCTACGACCCCACACTTAGATTTAAGGGGTAAAATTTCCCATAATTGCATACATCCAACTTACTGATCCGAATATCCAGACCCAAATTTGCTTAAATTCTGAAGAACCCCAGGCTACTCGGAACATTAAGGCTGGACACTCACGACTCCCGATGTGGTAGCTTCGACAAACAGAAGCGCACTATGTTCGATGGCAGGATCACACACTAGCACACATACACACAATGGATACAGATTCACAGTCAAAACAAGCCAATTGACAAAAAAGCCCCCCAAGAAAACAGCCTTGGGCCTCTTTATTCACAATGATGGCCTAGGAATCTCAACCGTCTGGTGAACTACTCTCAGATGCGGTGCCATCCGACGTAGCAGTTACATCATCGTCTAAGCTTACGTCTGCTCCTAACCTACGCAAAATGTTTAGAATCTCTATCTCTATGTTCTCTCGTGCCTCTTCTAATTCCGAAGAGAAAGAATTAACAAACTCTACTAACTCCTTGTGTCTTACGGATCCGCTGATCTTTGCATTCATTAAACGTCGCTTTAGTGAATCTAGCTTCGACCACTTAACCGATTGTAAATCCCACCATGTGAATCCCCGCAGACACTTCTCAACTCGCAATCTCAACTCATTAGTCGTCTCATCTCGCAAGTGACGGTATGTTGCCTCTCCCTTCTCAGTTCTCCGCTGTGACTCTTTCAATCTCATGATAGCCTTCCTCAACTGCTCCTGTAACGGTCGCCGTTTCGATTTGACCTTTAATCTACTTCCAACCTCCGAAGATCTTGCTGACTCGCAATCCGTCAATTTCTTGACCCAAATCGTGAATTCTCCTTCGTGCTTCCGGAATTCCTCCGCCATACTCGCCGTAAGCTCCTCCGCGCCTTTGAATTCTTTCTCACGCTCATTTGCGAGCTCCGCAATCTTACTACAAAGTTCTTCTTATGCCGTCTTCGTCTCTGCAATCTTCCCCTAAAGATCTTCGGCGATCCGTGCTTCTTCGGCTCTTTGTTCTTTTGCCTTAGCTAACTTGTCGGCATGCATCCGTTCTTGTTTGCTTGCAGTTGTAATAAGTCTCTCCACACGTTGCACTGCCGTCTCGTATGCTTCCTTGGACTTCTCCAATCTCCCGCACAAATCCACAATCACCTTCTATGCATTCTTATTAGTGGTACAAAGACTGCTACAGGCCAGTTCTAATTCTGCACAACGATCGGACTCCTTCGCTAAGT